ATGAATTGCTTTTAATTCTGATTGCAGCAGCTTTTTTGACACAATTACCCTGTGGATATCAAACGAACTCACCGGGTTGACCGCCTGGAGCTTGTGGAATGTTACGGGGAAAGAACGGCTCCCGTACGAGAACGCTACCTTCCAATACAGGCGAAGGACGGGGAGGCTAAATAGTACCTATATTTCGGAAGGCTTATGCAAGGAAAGAACGATTTTCAAAAATGTTTCTCCTCCAAGCTTCTGAATTTTTTACTGTGAGGTGATTTCGCATTGCTCAATGATCCGCATGGTCGGATGACAGCGGATTCATTACTTGTGTAATGGACCTAATGCTGGCTCCCGTTGATCAATCGGTCGCTTTAACGAAACTTCCCTAATTAGTTCAAGGGCAATAACTGTGAATGAGGATCATATTTATAAAATGGGTAACATATTTGAACCTATCGGATGCTGATTAAAATTTGTAGACCATGCGTGGCAAGGCACTGCATTAATTGTGGTCGAGGCTTGAGAATTGACACTGAATGTGATTTACAACAGAGGCATTATATCGTACCCATACCCTCCCTAAACCGATTCAGTGACGGTATGCTAAGAATGCCAGAACGTCAAAAAAGGTTCTATATCGAGAAATTCGTTAGGCTGCAGTTATATGATACTTGGCGGTAAGGAAACTGATCACTGTACTAATGTAAGCAAAATCGAAACTAACCAAACCGACTTTCAGCTATCTTTCCAAGAACGTTCAAAATATTAGGTTGGCGCGTGAGTCTTTGTACTTTTTGGTTTCCATGTTGTAAAATCTTTGGGACTTGCTTTGACATCCTCATTGCGAAATACGTGTTAGTGCAGGTCAATGCGCTCATCACACCATATCGGCTATGTGGAAGAACGTGCGTCCGAGGAAGCGCGCGGCAAATTGCGCAGCGATGTTCGTAACGATTCGAACGACTTTAGCGCCATTATTTGGGGCCCATATTTGAAGTAGAGTAGATTAGAAAGATCATATGACCCTACCTAATTACTCTACTTTGAGTTTGGGCCCCGAAAATTGGCGTCAGTGTCGTGCTAATCGTTACGAACTTCGCCGCGCATGTTGCCGCGCGCGTCCTCGGACGCACGTAATGCACGTCCCCCACACCATAACCGCCGCAGCATTTCGCAACGGTTATGGCTGAAACAATCGCTTTCGACTCAAAGCAAGTTAGACTGCTTCTACTTAATGAGTTTAGAAGAAACGTCAGTGCGAAGCATGCGACAAGGAACATACTTGATGCGATGGGACCCTCCACTGTCTTATACAACACGGCGAAAAATCGGTACCACCAGTTTGAAAATGGTTACTTTGACCTGGCTGGAGAACCACAATCAGGGAAACCAGTTGAGCTGAATGACGACCGTCTTCTAAAGCTGATTGAAGAGGATTCCAGACATAGTACCCGCGATCTGGCACAGGAGCTTAATAGCCATCACAAGGCAGTAGCTGCCCACTTGCATCGCCTCGGAAGGACATGGAGATACGGAGTATGGTACCTCATCAGCTGTGTGGATGAGTGGAAAATGTACAAAGACATATGCACCAACCTAGTAAAACTGAAATGAAGCAAATATTGATTGTTCTACCTGTATGGGAATAGGGGATGGTCTGGGTAGAGCAGGTACTATAGGACGAATCCGAGCTCTCCTTCCATCGCAGTCGAATGACAGGATAACGAAAGTTAAAATTTGAAGCACCCTCATGAATGCCACTGCCAGCCCTGTCGAAGCCTCGACTTTTTATACATGTCAATCTCATAATAAGTTTCAGATGGCAATCTCATGACACACTAATTCAATTAAGAAATGTTTTAATAATGGTTTTACTGATGGAATGTTGCTTTCTTCATTATTGCAAGAGCATACTGCGATGATTCACAATTTCCCTTTCCATGTTCAGATGATTGACCATATACTCGCTTTGCTTGACCCCGCTTTGGAGAAATAACAACGACAGTCGATTTAACGAACATCAAGTGATCCAACATGCTTAAGGTACCCTTTGAACAGGCTACCACAGTAAGCTTTTCAGGAGATGCGAATGATCTCAGCACTTTCATGCAGTTATCCCAACATCTGATTTCTGATCAGAGCTTCTCCACCACTACAGCTCTAACGTCGACGCCCACAACAGAATCCACAACGTCAACTTCAGCAACTGAGACTATATCTACAAGAACTACTACGCAACAACGACGTCGAAGAGAGTCCACAACGTCGACTTCGACAAAAGTAAAGTGGTCCCTAGACCATCTTTGATGAGAAAATCCGTCTCCACCGCGCAAGGTTGAACAAATCGCTCTAGGAGAACGGGCCAAAAAAATTGGTTGTTGGGTTTGTATGTGAAATCATCGAGCAGGTTGTAGCTAGTGTAGTGGTTATAAAAAATAGAGCTCAGGAGCAATTCATACGAGTGCTAGGGCTGCTACAGCTTTCCAAACTTTGTTGAGGAAATCCTATGTCAAGTAAGGTTTATACCGATTTTCGTAAACACAGATGTGTGGTGAGGTTCTCAGTTGGAACACGTTCTTCAGTGTGTACATACGGTAAAGTAGTCAGAAAAGTTATAAAATCGCCAATTCAGTTTAGCGCACATGCGGGACATTCGTGACGTCTGAAGTTCTTTGTAAAAGGCGAATCGCATGATCACTCAGGACAGTCTGCAAGCCGCTGTTGTCGTAAAGGTAAACGAACGGCACCCCGGATATCTAAAATCATATGGGTGTTGCCCTAGAGCTTGCTACTGAAGGAGCAAATTTAACACACACGACAGCTCGCACAATCGGGAAGAAAGCCTGACCATATCCAAGGGTATTCGATGAAAAGCCTTAACTTTTTCAAGCCCTATTCGACCTTGTCAAAAAGCGAAATATAAAACTACATTTTGCCACACCGTGTGGTAACTCTCGAAGAGTTTTTGAGAAGCTTCGTAAGATCGTTAGGGCTATGGGAACTTCAACGTGACTGGATTTTTTCCAAACCAAATAACTGATACCTCCTATTTTGCCTCCAGAATTTAATTTGCTGACCCTGGGGCATCCATAACGTCCCCAGTGAAGTGGTCAAATGGATCATTGTCTCATTGGTCATATTAGGTAGTAAAAAAAGCTAGGAGGGTCTAAGCTGAGAATGACAGTGGATGCTATGTGCACGTCTGCTTGCATTATCTGCAACAACAAGCTACAATTACGCTTCAAAATATCCCACATTAGCATTGATAGAGGGCCAGAGTCTGTTCTCCTCGCATATTACATACTAGTGCCCTCCTCCACTTCTTCCCAGACATTCTTGAGTCTTGCTTTTAGGGAATTCTAACTTGGACTGCAAAGTCGACAAGCTTTATTCTCTCTATTCTTAACAGAGACCGTACGGCGAATTCAAGTGGGTTGAGATCTGGAGAGCAAGATAGTCACTCTTCGGTGGTAGTGAAGGAGGAGCATGACCCTTTGGGAAAGGGGGGAGTATCGTCCTGCTGGGTAGACCATCGCTGGTTTCACGAAGCGGAGCGCGATCAGTGCTTCATTAGGCTCCTCAGTATGCTCTTTGATTATGTACATATTTTTATCAATGTCCACTCGGGTACCTACGAAACCACGGCGTCTTAAGATTTCCCGTAACCCCCTTAATGAACATCATTTTGCTGTTCTTACAACTTTTACGTGAGAGTTACGTGAGAGATAGCAGTTGTGATATTTCTATCCAGAATGTGACCATTTTGTTGTCGACGACAGCCATTGTTGTGCAAATTTTCTCGTCTAAAAAACGATGAAGAGATGCATGTTACCTTTAGGGTTAACCGGAAGAATTGTCAGTAATCATGCAATGGCCACCACTCTTCTATAGTAGGATATGTGAACCACTCCAAAGGTCAGAACTGAAGCAGTTGGTGGGTAAGGTGCAGAGCTAAAAATTTGTATTGTGGCTCAAGACGTCACGTATCTTGTTTACGAACTCTTTCAGAAGCTGGAAGGGCGTCGCGCTTGTTTCGCCTACGCGTCTGTTAGAAGAACTTGGTGTTTATGTTATCTACCCTTCTCGGATTTTTCCTCTACTGACTATACTGGTCTCGATGAGTACTTCTGGAATGTTGATTGGCTTCACTTATTTGAGCAGTACGTCTCTGCCGATGATGCATATGCCAGGTTCTGTAATGTTGTCTGCAAATGCTTAGCGAGCTTCGCTCCAATGAAGTTAACGAAATCTCCCATCATAAGGTGTCCATCACATGTAAAAACCTATTATTCCTGAAGGAACGCCTTTTCCAGGACTTGGTTACCCTTTGAGTAATGATTCAAACCGCAGAACCTATCACCGTTCAAATGTGCCCATTTCGAAATAGCAGAGGGCTGCACCTCGCGCGACGTGTGCAGCGTGTGCGGCGTCACATAGTTTCATCGACGATACTATCGGACGTTCCTATAAAATCTCTTCTGAACATGTTCACATCTTTGAAAAGCCGTTACAGCCACTGCCCTGCTACTACATACCTCAGTGCTGATTTGTCAAAGTTCTAAATCTGGCCTTGTGAGTATAATGAGGTTAAAATCGAACAAAATTCTAATTCGTGTTGTTTGAAAATCTTAAGTGTAAACACGGATAGCTTTTGTAGAAGAGAAAAAAAATCGATTGACATTGTACACACCCCGTCGAAAAATTTCTTTTCTGCTGCCTGTCTATTATTGCTTCATTGGTTATTTGTTCGGCTTCGAAAAGATAAGAGCTATTGATAACCACATTACTTTTCATGTTCGGTTCCTATCTTTGCTACCTCTCAAAATGTAGTAGTTGTTGTTCAGCTTCTTTTTTTTAGTCATTCCTTCTACACCTTACCTGCTATCATTTAAAACAATTCAAGTTCCAATGATATTGATTTTTCATACTCAATAAAATTATTACTCTAGATTGTTGCGGATTGCAAGATCGGCCAAACTCATTTTACATTTCCATCGAACAGCTGATTTCAGATGCGATTTCGAAGTACGATATTGGTGGTGTTAGTCGTTGTACTTGTCTTGGGAGCAGACGGTGCTCGAGACAGAAGCCGTAAAAAGAATCGTGATAAGGGAAAGTCCGCAGAGACCGAAAGCGCTCTCGATGACGAAAACAGAAGAGGTAGTGTGAAGTGTTGAAGCTTTTTGATTACTGGTAATCGCAATATGCGCTCCATGAGAGGTAGAAATATTGCCTCAACAGAAGAACTCTAGAAGATACGTACCACAAGGGTTGGGATCCTTGAGAGCCGAGGAAATGACCACCAATACTCTTTGAGATCATATTTCGGACAGTTTTAAACTGTGTCACCCAGTCAGTTCTCACACTAAATCTCTCATATAGAAGAAAGGCACTAAAGTTTTTATTTCAACCAAATAGTGGTCATGTCACGCGGAACTGGGCAATACATTTGTTTTTGGAACCGTAGAGTTGATTTCTACGATCTGGACCAAAGCTTAGAACATGGCGTGTTCCCTAGACTTCATTAGCGGCTTCTCTCTAGTCCTTCTTTATTTCGCGAGAAAATGTGAAGTAACTCCACAATCCACACTACCCGATTTCCTGCTGGTTTTTCCTCGACATCGAAGAGTTCAGTAAAGAGGGGAACTCATCACATTCTCATGTCCCTTGTGCACGTAAACATGTTACGAATAAGCAGTATCATTGTATTTTCACCTCTCTATTGTCCACCCAAGAAGAGTAGTGAACGAGGCAGAAATTGTGATCGCTTCGCGTTATAGCGACAACAGGGTTCCAAAAGGTACCTTTAGTACACTTCCCATTAACAGATAATATAGCATCGTGTTCAAAGTTCGTCAGGATCACCCTGACGCCCTCCTCTTCGCACTGACAGTTTCCTTTGGATTCAGACGTAGGGACGATCCGCAAAGAACTCAATTAGAGTAATGAAGATGTTTTATTGCTATGGTTTTCATAAGACTTCATTGAAAACGAAGGCAAAGGGTAGATATTGTCGTTTGACAGGCATCTTAGCCAACTAACCTATCATGTTCTGGGTAACCTGATTAGTACTAGTTTGTCAGCGATGATGTTATGGTCATTGAAACGGTTGAAGTAACAAAGGTAACAAGGGGAAGAAGATGGTAACAAGGGGAAGAAGATGAGTGTACAAGTCTTTTTACGAAAATCGATCACTATTGATTGAAGTTGATCTTTCACTTCTTCCCTGTTCATTTGAATTCATGATAACATCACCATGTAAGAAAATTGAAATGAGTCATTACTTAACAGCCATCACTCCTCAATGACTCAATAGATATTGATTATTGGATTACAAGACAGTTTAACTATGAAAATTTTGAAAACCTTTTGAACATTTGTAACAAGCATCTCTATAGTTAGACGTTCGCAGTTAGTTCTACATTTTAAAAGGTAAACTGTAGAGTTGAACAGACTAGAGCACAACGTATCAATATTCAGGTTTCGGGGAATCTGAAGGACTAACGGAAAAAAATCGCGAAAGGAACAGAGAACGAGAAAGAGGTATGTGGACTGAAGTTTGACTAACAAGTTTGTAATGTAGATTTAAAAAGAGTTTTCCATTTAACTTAAACAGTTAGTACCGTTATAGACTCACTGATGCGATTTTCGAAATGTTTCTCTTGTTGTTGGATAGAAAAGGTGTGGTGTTAGATGGTCTTTCCCCTGTGCTTTAGGCTTGCGGATCAAATCCTTAGTCGATAGTTGCCCAGGGTAGTCTCCTCACAAGTTTGAAGGTTGTAGAGTAGTCTGGTAGAATAATGGTTTTAGTTTGATTGATCGTCCAGTTCCAACGAGTTACTCTTACAATACCAGTACGTAAGTTTTTAGCGACCCTGACTGCTTTTCATTCATTCGTTCATGATATAGTTTACCACATTTTTTCAACTTTCATTCCATATCGATAGTTATTGTCGACAGCTTTAAAAAAGTGCAAGTACAAGTAAAATACAAGTCCAAGCAGATTTGTTAGTGTAATTGCTCTAGAACGTGAGCGAGGTATGGGAATGGGAGAAAGAGAGAAGGAGGAGGAAAGCAGCAGTGAAGAAAAAGACGACGATAAAAAGGAGAAGAACGCTACTGACGCGAAGGAGATTGTGATTCCCGAAGTAAGAACCATAAATACGAAGTGTCTTCTTTCGTAATCTATGGTTACTGTTCTTCAGGCTCGGTTACGCAGGTACAGAGGATATGATGAAGAGTTTTGGCATGGCAATAAGAGAAGTATCTCAGACAATAAGGATGTCAGCATTTAACTACTATTTACTAGCAATTTACTATTTTGTGGTAGCGAACGGCGGAGAATCCTATGTTAAATGTTTAGGACGGCATGTTACTTCATAAAAAATCTTCAGAACTCAATGAAGGCAAACAGATCCCACTGGATGAAGTGCAGGATAAACGTCACCACATCAAACGCGTAAGTTTTATGAGATATTTGATATAATTTAGATTTATTTCCAATATACAAAACATACAAAGGTGCGCAGGGCCCAATAAAGGCCCCTGTAGTAAATGGTATTTTTATGTGCGTACACATGCAATAAAGTTGAAAGTTGAAAGGTATTGGAGGGAATCGTGAAGTTCTATGTTTTTCATAACCAGTAAAAAGCTGTTATGCCTACGGTGTTCAGAAGATTTTGATAAAGAGAACCCTCATTTCGCAGCCTGCTTGGAACTGCAACCGTACTTTTTAGTAATTTAGTAATTTTCATTGGGATTTCTGGAAGTGAATAACTCAGTTCTACTGTGTCATTGGAGCGGGTTATGCTCCTTCTAAGATTCCGGGGGGGGGGGGGGGGGGAACCAAATCACTGGATAACATTTTAGATAATGAAATATTGTCGATCGTTTTGTTATAGAGAACTCGCAGAACTTTGGAACACGGAGAGGTAAAGGAACTCGATTATGGTGTACAGGAACCTCTCCATAAGAACCATACGCAATCAGCGAAAGTTTGTTATATCAGTTGGTTTCCTGTAGGTTTGGGCGAAGTAGACGCACCGTAGTATGAACTTTTTTTTACAAGTTAGTTACCAAAAAAGTATTGATTTATCTCCCAAAAGCTCAGAAAAAATGCACTGCAGCTAAATACTAATGGCACGGCACGGGAGTCATGCTCATTACAGATTAACCAAGATTTTTTTCATTCAAATTCATTTATTTAAATTGTAGAGGCTTCGCAGAACATTGGAACTGGTAAAGACGCAAGAAATCAATGATGGCGAACAGAAACCACTCGATAAAAGGCCATCACAAACACATCAAGTTTGTTGATACATATGGGTTCATTCAAAAAGGTTCTGCTCATGAGTAACTTAATAAGAATATTGACAGCACTAAAATTTACTTTGCCCAGTGTTAGCTTAGGGTTATCGAAAGAGCGACCCCTAGCGAACTCGTCCAAAATGGGCGGAACCACGACAGCCACATCCACTTTTGTGACAAGTGGCCGTGAAAGAGAAAAATTGTGGACGAAAAGTTTTTTGCATTTGTTCTCTTCATGGCTTCCCTGCAAATTCACCGTGCATGGATGTTGTAAGTTGTAAATTTGCACAAACGTGAGAACTGGAAAATCTTCCGAGGAATATCAATTTGAAGAAACAATCAGTTCCCTTACCTGCTAATTTTTTCGTATTCGGCGTTGAACAAGGAAGTATACCAGTACGACAAGGGAAGAATGCATTGCATTAAATGCTGCAGCATTCCCTTTCAGCTAGGGGCGATATTCAGGATTCTGCTTCAGATGGCTCGAAGATCTATCGATAATCACTTAGTAAAGACTAGGTTGGAGAACAGTCAATGTTTGAATTATCCTCGTTCGACTCGTTAAATTTCTCCGTCGATTACTAGTTACTCAAGAGGCAATCTTCACAAACAAATCACAGTGCAGTGCTTATCCGTTTTAACTACTACTACTAATTATAGAGGTTACGCAGAACGTTGGAACTGGTAAAGGCTCAAGAAATCAACGATGGTGAACAAAAACCTTTGGATAAGAGACCATCACAGACACATCAAGTTGGTCATAACGGTCTCTCGATGCTTCAATGTCAATGATGAATCAATACCGAAACTTCTGGTTCATCGTCATTTTTATCAAAATGCCTGACAATACGATGATACAGCCGCCGATGGTTAAGCCATCGGTGTTCAGCTCATCATATTACACAATACTTTTGTCCACATTATTACCTAAATTGTAGAGATCACGCAGAACATTGGAGCTGGTTAAAACGCAAGAAATCAATGACGGTGAACAAAAACCTCTCGAAACGAGACCTTCCCAGACACATCAAGTTCGTCATGTAAAGTAGTTTTTCCATGAATGCTCCGTCATTGAAGAAACCCTAGAGAGGGGGTCGTTCCAACTGAAACGACAACCGAAACTTCTCTTCCGGCTACCTACCTCTTCTTTTTATTGTAGAGGTGGCGTAGAACAAACAAAACGTTGGAACATCTGCCAAAAGCTCAAGAACTCAACGATGGCCATCAGAGACCTCTTGATAAGAGACCTACACAGTCTCAACAAGTTTGTCATATTCACATTCAAAATTGTTCACATATATCAATCGGTCTCATACAAGTGAGGTTGACCCGGAAAACCTATCAGTGCCTCTACTCGGTACTGCGATATATAGACAAGTTAATTACACTGTTGTGCTCTTTTTTCACACACTTCTCATTGATTTCATAATGTTCGTCCCAAACCGCACTAGTGAAATATACAATTGCAATTTTTTAAAAGGAAACATCTCAAGGCATATTAATCAATCGCGACGAGCCAATTTTGCAGAAGTTTTGTAAAAAATCTCCGATCTCTAAGAATCACCACTCTATGCAAACTGAACTTACTTCTAATCCTCATTACAGAACGTTAGATGGAGGACCATATACCCGAATTCCCAGTGCGCTTCGTTGGCGCGTCCGTCGTCCGTCGTCCATCGTAACTAGGTCTCGCCGCGGCCGTCGCTTGCTGCGGATCACGCCGCGATACTTGACGGACGTCGCAGTTGTCGGTGGGGCACATGATTTGCGCTTGGTCCACGGCAGTCGGCTCAAAGAGAAGAAGAGAAAAGAAATTACGCTCCACTGACACCTAGTGGTACTGTAATGCCATCTCGATATCTCGATGGGTTGCGCCGCTCGCGAAGTGGGCGGGGTGACCTACTTTCGACGAACGCACGCAACGGACCCTCTCCGAATTCCCATGTCGCAAACTCGGACGCGGCAGCGGCTCCCAACAGATCCCTATTGATCCATTTTAAGAATTCGAACTTTACTCTACGCGTTACGGCATGGGGCGGGTGTGGCCGTTCAGGTACTCCATCCCACAGACCAAGACTGCTAGCCCAAGCTGTGGGAAGCTTTGACTTACCACATTCAGAGAATGTCCGACAGCAAGCAAAAGCTAATCTCTACGTACACCCATGCACCACGTAAACCTCAGTGTTTTACAGCAGACGTCAAAAAAGACGTCGTAAGTTGTTTCCAAAGAACGGCGATATTTTGCTATAACCTTCTTGTAGCTCCGCTTCCACTCCAAGCGAATTCCGCATTTCTGCACGCTTTAAGGACAAAAAAGCACCAAGATGAACTTATTTAATAATTTCTTCTCCTATGGTAGCATTTACAGTTTCCCATTCAATCAGGAACAAGTTCTGAACAAGTTAGTTTTGACTTAGAAGGCTCTTAACGTATGTCGAGATTGTTCAATTATCATAACGATAAATTTCGAGAAACGCATTTACCGATAGGATTTTTGGATCAACCCCATGAGTTCAAGATCGAACTGACTTGCTACCATTTTTCACTTATTGTAGAGGTCTCGCAGAACGTTGGAGCTCATAAAAGTGCCGGAAATCAACGATGGTGAAGAAGTGCCTCTCGAGAAAAGACCTACACAAACACAAGTTCGTTTACAACGGACTGCAGTCCGATCAATAATATTTGCCTCTGACACAATTGAAATTATGGGCTTTAATGGTCCTAACAAGAGGGCTCTAAATATTACTGCAGTCCATGTAGCGTGCTGTCGCTTTACGTTCAGATGGGATAGTTGTCATGCAGTTATAACAAGTGAAACAGTGTTAAAGACACAGTTGAGGGGAAAAAGATTTTCATTGGAGCCAAGCTATGGTTCCTGAGAAAGCCACCTGCAGCGTTTTCGCATCTATTTAGAAGCGTCCCTAATGGGGCACCGTAAGGTTGAACTAGGAAGAGGTGTCGAACGATTTTTCAGTGGCTGTGCCACGAGTGGGCTGGAACCATTAGGCATAACGCGAAGTGTAGTTCATTTGTCGTAAATTTGGTCACTGATTGAAGTTATGAGCCTATCCGGGCGCAATTAAAATACCTTTGAAAACCCCTTTCGTTGTTTAGTACAAGTCCAGCAGCGAACTAGTTCAGGGAAGAACGTCTGTTGCGCGCGTCCGTCAAAAGTAGGACACCCCGCCCACTTCGCGCGCGGCGCATCATACTGAGGTCTTATGATGACATTACAGTACCATCGAGTGTTGGTGGGACGAATGATTTGCATTAGGCTGTGTTATCTCCTCTTTGAACTGACTGCCGTGAAACAAGCGCAAATCGTATGCTCCACTGACAACTGCGACATTTGTCGCGGGCTGAGCCGCCATGTGCGACTGCTGCGGCGTGTCCTAGTTTCGACGGACGCGCGCAACGAAGCGCACCCAGTTTAAGGAGGGAGTGGGGGAGGCCCTGTCTATTGCTACTGACATATATCCTGCATTAAGGATTGCGCACTTCAACCCAGTAATTGTTGAGGATAAAGGCCTTTTGGCGTTGATCAATTTCGTTTCTGAGATGCGCCCCATGTTCAGCTTCCACTTAGAATTGTAGCAGCGTTTGAATGAGTATTTGGCCTACACAATGACCTGCAGAGACCAGCCGCTGAACAAACCCGTGCTTTGAAGCATGCGCTACTTTTAAGGCAGGGACTAACCGATTGCAAGTGTTAACAAGTGCGCCGACCATGGCCGCGGTCACGACATCCTAGTAATACACTATATGGAGTTAGGAAAATATTGGTGGGTGAGTTTTGGGTTTATCGCCGCTGAGCACGGAGACATAAATGTAATCAGATACAAACCTGGTGATTTACAACACAATAAAAATCAGCGTAATATCATGGACAAAAAATTTGCCAAACACAATGCGATTATGCAATTTATCTCCAAGAAACGTGTACAATATTGGAAAATGCAGCACTGAACAAAATGTTTCCGGAAGATCGACCCGTTGCTCTCGCACAAACAAATTCAAGTAAACTTCAGTTTTTGGTTTTAGCTTGAAGGAAAATTTTTGAATTTGTTTATTCGTTTCAATTCCCGAGCATGTCCTCCTTGGCCGCTCTTTGTATAGGGATTTGTAGATGTTACAAAAACAGTTCACAACCGAAGAAGTTTTCAGTATCGCGTCCGACGCTGGCCTCTTCCAGCTAAACCCACCCACCATGGCAGATCGCACAAGAAGCTAAGACTACGAGACAAGAAGAAGGTAAATACGAGCTTTTTAACTAGTGGTACAAATTATTAGGCACTCTGAGCGTTTCAGAACTTATTAGTTCTGAAACGAACTAATAAGTTCTGAAACGAACTAGAACGAGAGGTTGGACTGAGCAATTAAGTTCATCACCAATTGTTTCTTTAGAATTTCGAAGTTTCATATTTTGTTTCTCCCAAGTTATTTGTTTGATATGGTGGTTTACCGTATCTTTCATATTGCTTACAAATTTTTATATGGTTTGAGTAATCTCATCAAATTGGAGAAACATTTGAAACTCATTTATGGAGAAAGCTGGGTTGCACTTTTCTTCCTAAAGGGCTACTTCACGATAAAAATGATTTCTGAGGTTGTCCCCTAGGATGAACCTGTGGCCCCTAGCGATAGCGCGTGTGACATAGTCGGGTCGAAAAACAACCTCGACAGAGCCTTATAAGAGCTTCAAAACCGGCATGGCCGACATACCCTACACACCCAAGGGAAGTCTATGTCTTGCTAAGGCTGCACCACTCACAATGAAGCGTTAGAACGCCGGCGAATAGGGGTATGGGTACTTACGTGCGTCCGAGGAGGCGCGCGGCAAATTGCGCGGCGAAGTGCGTAGTGATTCGAACGTCCATGGCGCCTTCATTGGGGCTCAAACTCAAAGTAGAGTAGTTTAGTAGGGTCAGCTGATACTGCTGACCTACTCTATTTCAAATTTGGGCTCCTTTGATAGGCGCTAGTGTTGTTCGAACCACCACGCACTTCGCCGCGCAGTTTGCCGCGCGCATCGCACGTAAGTTCCGTCCCCCGGCGAATAGTACGCTTATGCTAGAGACACCTAGGCGACCCAAGATCTCGGACAACCCCACTTCTTACTACATTTTTGCAGACTTCAATTTCTCAGAATCCGCCGGTTTTCGCGCTTTCTTCGCTATTTTTGCACAATTCTGCGCCATAATTTCCATTATTTCCCTCATAGGCACAGTTCAGTATGAATTTGGGGTATCTATTTTAAATGAAATAATTGAAATCATTTGTGCAGGATACTGCGCCCGTGGCGAAGAGAACACGAAAATCGTGGATTTAGAAAAATGAAAGACTTCAAAAAAGTAACAGGAAAGAGGCTGCGCCAGCTTCCGTCTCGATGTCTCTCATATAAGCATACTATTTGCCTTGTCGTATGAATAGTGCAGTTAGAACAAAGTCGGCAAAACCTGGACTCTTTGAGTGTCTGCGTCGGCCAAACCAGCTTTGGAGCCCCTATCACGTTCTGTCTAGGCCGCTTTTCGGCCCGACGACGTCCCATGGACTCTGAGGCCTCAGATTACTCTTAGCAAGAAATTTCAGAGGTCATTTTCATCGTGATCGCTACCATTAAGCCACATGCCTCAGGATTATTGTGACTAGTTAATTTAATGTAGCCTTCAGAGTGAGGTCGATGTCAAGATGCACAGAGCGATGAGGATACGCAGAGCAGAGCGCATTAAGGTACCTATCTGAAGATGATCTTATTGAACTGAAGTTTTCCTTCGATTTTTCCTTCACCTCTTTCAAAGGAAAAATTCAAGTAATACCTCTTTCAAAGGAAGAAGAAGAGGAAAAGAAGCACCAGAAAAACCTGAAGAAGGATTCGAGCTCTTCACAGAGCAATGAATCCGAAGAGAGGCCGCAAAGACGAGTCAGATCTTTGGTCACCCGTGAACTGATACCCAAAGGTTATCCACCCCACGAGCAGCAATCCGAAGAAGCAATGGAACGTGACAAAACGCTCAGAAGCCTTTATTCTTCCATACTCTTTTGAACAGTTTCGCAAATGAAATTTAGATGGTCCATGTATATTACTGTTTACAAGTAATGCTGTAATCCTTTTTGTCCCGGTTTACGCAGTTTGTGGCGGCTTTCACACTTTTATTATTCGACCCAAACTTCTTTTTGTTGCGGTTAATTTTCATGTAAGTGAAATGTAGTTAACTGAAATTAATGGAGTATGCAAAACAATAAATAAACTTTGAAAATAACAAATAATTGAATCAAGGTAAAAGATGGCTCCTTTCGACCATTCGCCGGACGGCTCACCGTCTCCCGTCTCCACCTCTCTCTGAGGCTGGAGACGGGCAGTAGGAACGGCTTTGTGTAATCAAATCGCCGCACGCGGCTCTCACGGACCATTCGCTTCGCCCTTATTACAGCTCTAACGTTCTTCATACAGCTCAATCGATATGCGATTATTATTTTAGGCATGATCCTACTGCTAGTTCTTGTGTTGTTGTATTTCTTACCTGCTGCTGCATCCTGCTACATTACTTCGCGCGCGGCGTCCATCTCCTCGAGACGCGACAATTTCGTTCCTGCTGCACCACACCCCTCTGAGGCTCATCAATGCTTTGGGGTCGGTGGACAAAATGTTGGGTAATGTGTAATAAATATAGTCAAATAAAGTTCAACGATTGATGGTTCTTATTACCGGGAATCTTCATACTGCCATCATGGTAATGCTATTGATAATGAGCAGCAAACTTTATAGTATAATTTGGACGGCTAATTTTATTGGCATCACTAGAAGTTCAGAACTGCGAAGAGATTTCTTTTCCTAAATGAAGCTGTTTTTTCGAATCTCTCACTCCCTCAGTTTAAAAAGCCTTGGCTGAATGCTGCAGATTACTCATTACATGGGCGCCCACTTCACGAATACCAATGTATAAAACCTGAACAATAATGTCTTTCAACGTTGATCAACCCCATCAGTGGGATGCGCCTTCGCAATCGACTTTCATTAAGAATCGTAACGACGTTTTTGAACACTTATGTGGCCTAGAAAATGCCTACAATGACCAGCAGATGCTCAGTCAGTAGTAATGGAACTTCTCCACGATTGCGGCATTCTCCCTTGCGGCATGCGGCAAATGTCACTGCAATGACCTTACCCAGCCCGCCTAACCGCCAATCGATAGAGGCAATATTTTTCGTCGATTGCTTTTCTTTTTAATTAGATTTGATCGTTTTTTTTCTGTTTCTTTCTCGTTTTCATGTTTATTAGACTTGATTAATTAGAATGACTCCTTCTATATTAGCGACGATCAAGATCGCATTGGAATTGAAGAGAGCGACCAGCCATTCAAATATTCAAGGACTCTCTACCTCACAAATTGCGCGCTCCAATGTTTCATCGCAATCCTGCGATACGCGGCGGGTGCGGCGTGCGCGACGCCATCTTCGGGGAGATGTTCCCGGACCCGCAAAATTAGTGCTATTATGCTCCCATACATGGTACCAACTAACCGACCCCGAATAGATGAAGGAATTCTTCAATCTTGGCAAGTAACGATTTGGGGTTCAATCCCGGAACCATGTGTATGTATTGTTTTTTACCATTACCCAGCCTTCTTCTTGTTGTAAGTGTTTGAAATGTTTAATATATGGTGAGAGAGACCTTCAGACCTTACAATTGAAAACTCGTCCAGTTAGAGGGCGGGAATACCCCACAAGGTGTCTTAGCTTAATTGCTGCTCGGATTTAGAAATCGTTTTCGATTTCGCACTCATTATATCAGAATTGCTCTACTGGTCTACCGTACTTGTTCGAAAGAACGTAATGCTGAAAAGAGAAGATTAAAAATCCCACGCTTTCGATGTTTATAGCCTACCTGTATTCATGAATTTCAACCGGTTCGTTAGAATGCGAATTCGGACGAGTTCTCAAACATTTTGTGTGTTTTATAGCAAACGTTACTTTAGGTCATTGCTGGTTCTGAGGTCCAATGTAGATTTTGTTTTATTTTTATTACAAAGTAACGAATCATTACCGACAAACAGTTGAGTTCATGAACGAAAGATCTCTGACCGATAGAAAGTCTACAAGAAGTGAACGATTCACATAGAAATAGTATAGATTTTGAACTGATCACTTTGTTAATCACAGGAAATACACATACTTGTTGATAACAAGTTTATTTACTAAGTTTATATGAAATGGAAGGTATGTCCCGTATTTTCATGAGCTTCTCACTGTCTTACGTCTACAAGGACTGAGGAGAATGTTCATCTGAAGATGACGTCATAATATGCCATCCCCACTGATTACACCAAGTTCTTCCATGATGGCCACACCTCCCGGCTTGACCCACAATGTATCCTATTCGGGACCTTACAGTTATTTCCAATTCTATATAGTATCTCATGATGATACAATGATGTAGGAAGTAAGGAGCAAGGTTTGATATGTATATTAGGAAAATCGGAACGGATATCAATTGAAAAGACTGTTGTGTGACTGGAAGTGAAGTGAGCTAGCTTTCAGTGCTACCGGAATGTACGATGGTAGTTATCGGTGTAAGAGTAATTTGTGTAGCCGCTGAAAAAGAAGTTTAAGGTGACAAAAAAACGTATGAAATGTCTTGTAATGCAAAAAATCTTTTAGTTTCAAAGCATAAACTCACGGCTTTTGACGGGTTTCGTATGTATCCGTGATGAAAGAGGACAACTGATGATGATCCGGTGGAGTTTCCACAACACTGAAACGTACTGCTTTTTTAAAGATCTATGGAATGCTCACGTAAAGATTTTGAAAAACATGAGAGACAAAGGAATGTGCCCATGCTGAATGGGAACTTCTTAGAAGAAAAAGAAAAACATTGGAAGGGGGACAAACTAGTTAAGCCAGATTCCAAGTGGAAAAATTACCCTTCAAGTGCTTGGGAAAGTAGGGCGTGACCACTGGAACTTTGATAGTATGTATCAAGAAGTAGTTTGCGCAGGTAAAATGATTCACATGAGTAAGTCTCATTGTTGAACTCCTACTAGTTCTTACCCCTGCGCTCCACACATATCTTGGATAGTAACTAGCGTTTTGGGTAGAAAAGAAAAAGAGCAACTATTCGTTTATTAGGGCGGTGTAGAGAGCTCGAAAGACACTGATAGCACTGTTGGGAAAGCGGGCGTGGCACAGTAGGATCGAAATTGTCGCGTCGCGGCGAGAGATGTCGCGCGCGAAGGAATGTAGCAGAATGCAGCAGCAAGTAAGAAATACAGGAAGAAGAGAACTAAGAGTAGAATCATGACAAAAGTTATAATCGCATAGCGATCGAGCTGTATGATGAACGCTAAAACTGTTATAATAAGGCGAATGGTCCGCGACAGCCGCATGTTGCGGATCGTTTACACAAAACCGTTCCTAGTGCCCGTCTCCCGCGAATAGTAATGACTGGTAACTTTCTGTGGTAAAAGTGATTTGATAATACATATATAAATTATATAAGATCACGATCACATGAATACAATTACAAAGATAATGCGGGTAATAAACTCACTATTTCGGGAATGAGTGCATTTTTTCGTACAGTTTAACAAGTGCTGTAGCAAATATAAGTATTGGCACAAGGCACAACAGGCTTATCAGCATCGACATCCACGCGCCGTTCTGTAAATATTCGTAATCAGTTTTTTTGTTTTTATTGAGCGAGTATCAGTAGAAATCAAAAACAAACCAATGGGTCAATCGTGTAATCACAAAGAGCAGCTGTTGACGACGAAATTATTGCTCTAACGGGGGCACACGACGAGACTTCATGTTGCATCTAAAACACAAACTGTAGCTACTTCATTAGGAAACTTCAATCAAAAATCGTAGAAGTTGTAGAAAAGTAGTAAAAATCAAAGGGAAATAAAAGGTAAACAAGTTTGACTGAAGAGTTTGAGTTATCCAGACAGTTTGATACATCTGAGAAACTTGCTGAACCACCAACATTGAATTTGTAAGGAGAAAATTACTGTCAATGGATGCTTCACGAACTGAACTTGAGACATATCTAGCAATGGGCATGAGGTCGCGCTCATCTTCCCTTAGCACAGCACATCAGAAATCTTTCTGTTGCGATGTAAAAGTAAACGGGAAGATTCGGATTATCACCTGAGGAAGATTCAGTGGCCACTGTTTAGTGGCCCACCGCCTACCTCATTCATCACGCAGCTCATGAACCAGGTCAGACGACATCATCGGTGTTTTACTTTGAAGAAATTGACTAACATATAGTAGGCTGGGAGATCGATGTCCTGCTTTAGTGAATCGAGAAGGCCCGATCCCTCATCCACGAAAACGTTGAGATGACGTCGCAAGGTACTCCGCACAAAAACCAATGTAATCAAAAGTGGAGTTCCCCACACACTTTTGTGTAGCCATTTTTCCATGTTTTCAAACATTTTTTGTGGAGTGCACTACGAGAAAAGGGGTGTGTCAAAATGGTCTTCCAACAGCTTCATAGATTCATACTTATTGCTTTGTAGAATATTTTTTGCGAAATTCCATACGAGAAAAGAGCTTATTCGTTTTTTCATGTTCGTGGAAGTGTCGATTCTAGCGGCTTTTACTTTGAGAAACCCGTTGTGCTTAAATAGGGTTACAATAGTGAAGTTGAGTTAGAAGATATTCGTTTATAAGAGCGAATGCTTATTGAAAAACCTTTAGAAGGCAGATTTACATCGCCTATTAAGGATTCAACCTATTAGCTGTTATCTCTTTTATGATGAGGATTTTTGTTCACTGAGATTCATACGCTAGGATTTAGGTACGTACATTCTGTCGCTCACCTCGGCGACTTTGCAAGAGTCTCGTGATTTTTGCAGTTTCGAGCAACAGCCCGAGATAGAATTTTTTCGGTTTTCACCCCCTTTCCCAACCACCCTTTTCAAGATATTTCCATTTGGCCTTAGCATAAGTTTGTAGCGCCCTACCGCACTTGCACTTCCTTCCTAGTCCCATCTATCCATCTTCTGGAACGCAATGTTTCCCCTGGATTGTTTTACCAAAAGTTTGGTCTTTCGACTACCATCTGACCTTCGAAAGATCGAGTAGCTTATAGGTAATGGGGTCCCATTTCACTGTATTGGGCAATAATACCGCCTTTTTAAAGGATTAGTATCACAAATCTAATAAATCAGTGTTTATCAAGAAAATTATTTGGAAAATCGAAAAGTTGAGTACCAAGGGAGCATAATCTCCCTTTCCTAGTAGATAAGCCGCGAATGTCTCAAACCTCGAAAGTATATGGCCGAAAATAATCATTACCTGACTTTTAACATGATCAACATATTGGTTGATATTAGAAAGTATGGCATTCAACTGTTCTCGTGCTGCCTTTTCCATGGTACCTCGTAAATCTTCAGAAAGAAGAGCTTGAGCATGCTGAAGCTTACTCAACAACGTGCTCACTGGCATTTCTAGCTCTTCAAGTCTGAAACTCAATTCGAATTTTAATTCGAAAAACAAGTCCATATCATTTAATGGGAACAACTCAAAGCTGACCTTTTATTGAGGCGAGTTAGGTTTTTCAGAAGTGAAGTAATTTTGATTCGAAGGGGTTTAGCGGAATGTGTGTCTACTTCCTTAATCTGCTCCAACATCTGGAATAGGTGAGTCTCACCATCTTTCACTCAAAATGGTGGGATCGAGCAAATGATCACTAGATGGCCTCCATATATGTATCCGAATATCTCCTATACAGAGTGTGGGGAGTGGTAGAGTTAGTAAACCTATCTAGGCTATCCAATAACTTTGGAGAGATCGAGATGATTACCAAAATAACTCAAAAGTATACGACGGAGGCGAACAATTTATTGAATTACTCTCTTCAAACGAATCAAGTGACTATGAAAAGACGTTAAGAAACAAAAGCTCTAATTCATGATCGGACCCATGGAGGCAGAGAACAGATGCCAAACTACCTCCCCAAAACTTCTCACGTTACTTCTACGGGACCAATATCCTTCTGAAGTGGCCATATCGCTGAAGGATTACTGGATAGATTCGGCCAAAAACTGGGAACGGGGGCCGGAGTTGTGAACCGTTTCAAATTTCATCACTTCCGGTTTCCTTGACTGATCTGAAGTAGTGATAAACTTACCGAAGTTACCGCTTTTGGTAAACCTGCTCTTCGATCAATATGGCTCTCGAACGCATCCGCTTTAGCTTGGACCTCTATATTCGACAGAGTCGAGTTGATCTGTAAAAGTAGTTACTGTACTTTGACTGGAAAGTTTTTTTATGTCCATCATAGCTATCATTAAAGCTATTCATAAGGTCCATAATGGCCAAAAAGAACAAATTTCAAAACATGTTGAACTATGCATTTCTACAAAAATACCACTGCTCTCTTTTTGAAATTGCTCCAGGATGTAACTACGCTCCCCATTCTTTTTTGAGATTAGACCTTTTAACATAGTACGGCCCCAAATGTTATTTTTTCCTCTGGAACTGGTTTTTTTCTGTTACATGGTTCGTGTAACAGAAAAAGAACCAGATCCAGAGGAATAAAACTTTCTGGCGCGAATTGCATCGGAAGTGGACAGTGAACTTAGTTAATCGGGACAGTTGGTAACAAAATGCACAAGCATTTTTGAAATCGACAGTTTCCCAATTTCTGTTTTGGCAAAAAAATTCGAAAGAAACCGGAAAACAAAAATGAGCTCAAAAAAAAGTCATTTAAGTTCCATACTTTACAAGTTTTATAAGTTAAGATTAAACTCGAAATTGTAAAAAGTCCAGTGACAAAACAGCTGTATCCATCGAAACTGGAATGATTCGAAGAGCAGGAGCATAGGTGTTTGCTCACCTCAGAAAGACTAAAACGGCGAATTTCGGAATTGTTCAGTTCAGCAGCGAGTTGTTGTAGTCGCTCGAAATCGCTATTTGAAATTATATTAGCGATAGGCCCTATAGTTGGGAGGTCCGTCAAGGTGATGCTGAGATATCTTTCCAATTTGTCATACACTTCCTTTTCGAGTGACTGAAATCCGTTCCTTCGACTTGATATTATGTTTTCAATTGATAAGACATATTACCTTGAGTCTCGTCAACTGGTACTTCTTATCAAGTTGGAATATTTCGTAGAGTGTTTCATTACGTTGACATGCTCGTATCAGATCTGCTAGGGAATGATCACGCATTATCGATAGCAAGTCATCACCTGACTGATCTTTGCTGCGCATTATCTCCAAATATCGTTCACCCAACTGAAATCAGCAGTTTTATGAACTAATCAGTAAATTTTTTGTGTTGAATCTCTTGAAAGCACCATGTCTGCGATAGGAATCTCAACTTTTTTTGGCTTCATTTCAACAATATTGAAGAAACGAAGGCAGCACAAAAAGGAACTTACCATAAAAAAGATTAAGAGCTACATCAATCAAAGAGTTAAGAGTTACAATAATCACTCCCAGAAACGAACAATTTTGCGTTAGCGCTCTAAATTCTTGTAGGAACGCCAAAAAACTTAGCCAAACGATTGTGCATAATCTAAACTGGCAAATCACTTTCGACACAACGTGCCAAACTACATAGTAAGTACGCGAATACGAGCTTCAAACAATGATGGTAAACTATGAGGTTTAGATCTGATAGATCGCACTTCAAAATTCATGCTTTTATTTTGACTTGATGTTTTGTAAACTGCTGTTATTTCGCCGCAGTACGCGAACCGAAAGTCCCACAAGGTTGGCGATTTATGGACAAAACTTCAGTCTCGCACGGGACTCGAACCCGTACTTGTCCTTTCCGGGGACCGTGCTCTTATCCATTACACTACCGGGACCCGCTTGCCCTCGCCTTCTTAATGGCTTATATGTCATAGCTTATCAGCACTCACACGTACTGTCACGGTTTTATCATCGTTGAATTCGGTTGGCAGAAATGAATTCACTTGGGAGACGGGCAGTAGGAACGGTTTTGTGTAATCGATTCGCCGCGCGAGGCTGTCGCGGACCATTTGCACCGTTATAACAGCTCTAGCGCTCTTCATACGGGCTCAATCGCTATGCGATTAGTACTTATGGCATAGTTCTACTGTTATTTCTTTTGTTCCTGTATTTCTTACTTGCTGCTGCATTCAGCTACATTCCTTCGCGCGCGGCGTCTCTCTCGCCGCGATGCGACAATTTCGTTCCTACTGCACCACACCCGTAATAGTAAAGTATTGAGGAACTGCAACTGCCGATTACCTTGATGATGTCATTACGTGATAGAGGATCACGAAGAGTTCGGCACACAATATCAGATGTATTCCCGACAGTGAAGAAGAGTACTGCTGTTATGACAGAAAGCGCAGTGAATGTAGCTATGGTCAGCCAGATCCCACTGAAATGCACCTTTTCAAGAGAGCAGGATCTATAAATGGACTTATTGATACAAACCATGAGTAAAATCGTCCACCAGTCGACCGTACACAGCAGTCATCATTGTAGAAGGTTGGCCGGCGACCACATACCCCGTAGAACAGTCCGAGAAGGAAGCAAAATGCAATCAGCATGAATATAGACGTAATCACCAAGGAGAACGTTCGACTGAAAATGGTTACAATCCATTTATACAGAATCAATTTTTTACAGAAAATCTAGGCTATAAATAGACATTCATTTTCATTTACAAAATGGGGCAATGCCAGAGACTAGAGGGTCGCAGAGTTCGAATCGCGTGCAGTACGTGGAGTTTTTTGAGGTGTGAAAACAAATTGTTAAATAGTGAAAATCTATTGAAATAAAACAGTATCATCGAATCAAATCAGTTACTGTTGGAGTTAACGGTGCGCCACGTAACGGTGAAATAGCCCTCTCAATAATGACGGCGGCAATAATGACGGAAATAGCAATAACGGGTGATACAGCGGTTTATAGTAAGAGTCCCATGTATGCGATCGTTATTGATTAGTTATCGCGCACAATGAGCTGATTGGGACTTTCTTTTGAACCTAGTCAAGGTGCGCCGCGAGTGCGGCAAGCCGCGTGAGGCTCGCGGTCATCAGTCCTGGCCCTCCGTTGCCGCGTCTTTTGGCTGTTACTGGTTCTGTTTTACTTAGTAAAAACTTAGTAGGAGTCTGGATGTACATTCAAACACGAGGATCTGCTCGCATCTTCCCAGCTTCGACAAGTACTACTCTTGTACCGCCCTAGGGCAAGAGTCTTATACTTATAGGCTCACCTGTAGTGCACAATTTTGGCGGCGATGCTATCCTTCGGGTCTGAGGTTCGAGTAACAACATCGTAAAGAGTGTCAAAGTTGATCTATAAATAATCAACGTCCAAAAAATCTGTAAAACGAATTTTCGGCAACTCAAGCTTCCAACCTGTCGAATCTGGGTGGAAATATTTTCAGCTGCTACGAAAAGACCATCAGCAATTCGTTTCAGTTCCATTTGAGATACTGAAAAATAAAGGTGGCATGAAATCCCCTCACAAGGACTCGTTGCAGAAGTGGATAATGGGATGTTCCGAAAGCGTATGTTAGAGGAAAGAATAGGAGGGTACTTTTTGTTGTAGCAAGAAAGTAAGTGAAGAGCTGCTGTTACACTGACCTTTAGATTCTTATGTTTAATACTTATTATTTTCCCAATTGTTTTCCTATGACAAACAAAGGTAAAGCTTTCAGCGCTGATCAATCCCTCGTCGGAGTGTGCCCTTGCATCTCATTTTCATTCGCTATCCTGAGGGCGTTTGAAAGCGTACCTAGGCTATACAAACGTTACGACAGCTCGTCAACGTCGCCAGCCTTTTATTCTCCCTGAGTCAGGTACTAATTAGACCATTCTTGAGGATTGGTGGATCTAGATTGGCTTGGGTTATTCTAATGGGGATATAATATCTGGACCGTACATCTAGAGCGCAGCTTTTGAGAGCCCCCC